TTGTTGTAGGTTGTGTTGTTGCCTGCTGTTTTGTTGTAGGTTGTGTTGTTGCCTGCTGTTTTGTTGTAGGTTGTGTTGTTGTAGGTTGTGTTGTCTGCGGTCTTGTTGTAGGTTGTGTTGTTGTCTGCTGTCTTGTTGTAGGTTCTGTTGTTGTCCTTTCTGTTGTTGTCGACTGTGTTGTTGTAGGTTGTGTTGTTGACATTTCTGTTGTTGTCTGCGCTCTTGTTGTTGGTTGCATTATTGTCCTTTCTGAARTTGTCTGCCGTCTTATTGAGGTTGGTAGTGTTGTTTTAGCTGTTGTTGATCTTGTTGTGATCGGTTTACTTGGCCACATTGTTGACTTTTTAGSTATTGTCCTTTGTCTTGTGGTTGTTCGTGTTGTTGTTGGACTTTCATTTGGTGATGTTGCGCTACGATGTAAATCTGTAGACGTTACAGGAGTGACATTCTCAACAGCTAGCTGCGGGTCTTTGGTTGTAGTAGCCGCTGAACTTGTAGTTAGTCTCTCTCTCGATTCCATCGAAGCTATAAAAGGGGTTCTTCTTTTTCTTGGTGTTGATGCTTTCAGCGTTGTTTGAATTRTTGTCCGGATTTGTGATGGCTTGGTTGTTGTATGGTGTTCTGTTGTTGTTAGAATGGCCTCGGTAGTGGTACTAGCTGAAAATAGTCGATTTGGCAAAACCAAAACAATGACAACAACAATAATGTTACGCCGAACAAAGAAGAAAAATCGGCATCTAGTGTAAGCGATATATAAGTGTCAATACTCAGAGGAAGTGAGTGAATTAGGAAATACACAATGAATATTTTAAGTTTAGCGACGTAAATGACAAACTTACGGCAATTCCATTCATCACTTTCGTCATCGCAGTCCATTTCACCATCACATTGCCATGACTTCGATATGCAGTGCAAACTTTTGCACATAAATTCATTAGATTTGCACGATACATTCGTGTTAACTAAAATAAATCGAAATCATTATGAGACGCGTATCCAACAAAGCATGCTGTCCATCCTGATTCTATTCTTACCGCAAATTAATTGACTTTCATCGCTGCCATCGGAACAGTCGTTTTTACCATCGCACACCTTGTTCTGTGGAATACACAAACCGTTGTCCGCTACACACTGAAATGTTCCCACGGAGCATTGAATGTTTTCTGTCATAAAATATAAAACACTTAGATAGAGGCATCGTTACAAAATTAATTATAAGTACATAGAAATGTAGATATATAGGCAATGTGATTGGTCTCGAACAGCACATATTTGATGTGGATGTTCCACGAGGAGTGGTACCCAAAAGATGTMTATTTTTAAATACATTCTCCATGCTAACACAACATAATACGATTATCATCGATGCTAAATTTCAACCATATAATAATTATTTTCTGATCAAGTTAACAAACCGCAATTTTGCTCATCCATTCCATTTTTACAATCTTCAGCACCATCGCATAACCACTTTTTTGAAATACATTCTCCATACGAACAGCGAAACTGGTCTTCCCTGCATGTTGTTGAGGCTAAACACAAAAATATATCCTTTATGATTTGATAAAGAAACAAAAAAAGGTATAAATATAGTCTACTTACCACAAAGTTCTGTTTTTTCATCGCTAAAATCGGTGCAATCTTTATCCCCATCGCAAACCCAACCCTTTCGAATGCATTTACCATCATCGCACTGGAACTCGTTGGGAGAACATGTTCGGTTTTCTATAGCAATAAAATCGGTTTAAAAAGGAGCACAACTTGTTTTCAGGAAGTTTGACAATTAAAAACTGTGTCAGACAATAAAACACCGTTACAAGCAACACAAAATAAGATACAGGATTCTTTTTAGGACAGTAAGGGTGGTGTTTCTACGCGTTTTACGCAAGTAAAGGATAACATAAGTTGGTACTGGTCATAAAAGTATTAATCAAATACGCTGGATTTGTGGTATCACAGATGTGGATTTATCATGTTAAAATATTTGTAGGTCGTATCTCGGTTCAACTGGAGATTTTCGACTCTCTATAATAATCTTATTCCGGTCTGGCTGGTCCTGATTTGGAACGTTTTTTTCGTTATTGATAGTTTTGATGGAAGATTCTCGAACGTTTTTTTGTTATTGGTAGTTTTTGATGGAAGATTCTCGAACATTGTTGGACTAACCACAGTGTTTCTCATCAGCTCCATCTGTGCAGTCATTGATTCCATCGCATAACCAAGTTAATGAAATACAATTGTTTTCTTCAGGACAAAGGAACGGTTTATCAGAACCACAGGTAGGCATAGCTAAAACAAAATACCCATCAAAATGTGATGAGAGCAGACATTCAAGGACAGAGACAGACAGACAACAGACAGACTGGCAGAGACACGTAAATAACAGAGCCAGCACTACGACTAAAGTAATGATCATACATGCTTTCATGCATTTACAAAAGACGTAAAACTAAACAAGCAACACAGGGAAAAAGCAGACTTTTCTTGTACATAATTACGATTGCAGTTCTGCTTGCGTTGTGCCATTATAACAGTCTTAACACTAGTCCATGTAATACGGTATCGTATTTATTGAGAGACGTACGTTTAGAGATAAACGGATGATACGCTAAAAATATATGTAATATTGAAGCGATATTAAGATAGACAGACGAACGTATGATGGTAAGAAAATGAATACATTGGCGGATTTAGAATTTTCTTTAGAAAAGTTATAGAAGGTGCAGCATAGCCAGAAAAAATCACAAAATAGCAGACAACAGAGGTGGGGGGAGGTGGGAGCTGTCCTCCTATCCCTGGATCCTCCCCTTAGGGACTGGGCAATATTTATCAGGAGGGGGGAGTTGAGAATCCAGGGTGGTGACAAAATCTAATTTTATGCKCAGTCCCTTAGTTTGGTACATTAGTTAACTTACTGCAGCCGACTTCATCGCTATCATCACCATTTCCATTATCATTGCAGTCTTCATCGCCATCACATCGCCAGGTATTAGGGATGCAACGAAGATTTTTGCACATGAAATGATTAGGTTGGCAAGTCATAGTTTGYTTACCTGATTGAAATCAACAACAAAACAAAAATCAAAGAGAAATCCTTTGTGTGAGAACCAAAGGCGTCAAACAATGGATCACTACTTCAACAGATGGGCTGCCTGTGGAGGAACTACCAAACAATGCTTTTTCTACTATTTCCCAGAATGCCCTGCGCATTTTATATCAGTTACTTAAATTCCAGACGCGTGACGCAATATGCATACCAATCCCCTCTCCTACTCCAGAAGACAAAATAGTTTGGAGGCTTGCGATTTTTTTGAACAAAAATGCAATGCGCGCATAATGTTTAAAGGTCTCTATGTATGCATGCATGCACCCCCCTGAAAATRTGACAAACTTACTGCTTACAGACGAAATGGCTAACAAGTAGCTAAGTAGAACCAATAGCAGTGTTCTTCTGATTGGATGGTGGGCCATTGGATATTATAAATAATTGCTCTGAAAAATTAAACTAATTGAGCAAGGATTATTTACTTACAACTTTATCCTTTCATTTTTATATCTTTATATTCTATATTTTCTTCATTTCTCTCTGTTTGTTCCATTCATTTTAGGGCAACGGTTCGCATTTCATTTTTATCGTTAACGAGATTCGTTTTTCATCGGGACGAGATSTCAAAATAACATTTGACATCGGCAGTCACACTTACATCWATGTCATGATACAATCGCTAAACAKTTTCTACACWCGATCACGGGGGGAGTTGTATAAGCTTTTCTATTCCAAAACCATTGCATTAMTCATACATTATAGCAAATCTCTTTTGGATTCATAGTTATCAAAGATTAAAGAAACGGTTGGTTTATATGCTGTGTGGTTTAGTATCAGTTAGTAGATAAACAATACTATTAGATCAAATGTATATTAACAACTATTATAAGGGGATTGTGTATATAAAGCTATAGYCACTTTAATTAATAGAGACATGAGGGATTAAACCAACCCTTTACTGAAGATGGCTGCTAATTACACAGATGATAAAAAGATAAAATGAATGCTCACGCGAGCTGACCTTTAAAATATTCACTATTACAGCTTATTTACAAGCCAGCTACGATGGGACTGACTATAGGGTAATGTTCTTACCTATGCGTACAAGTCTATCCAAGAAAGGCTTCCCCAGAATAATGTTTGTRGGCCCACATTAAACGCTACTCCAAACCTTCCGTCACCTTAACGAGTTATCTGAAGTTGTTATGCACTGAAGATCGTAGAGAGCTGGTCTTGAGCCTTTCAGTCAATGGCTTTACAGAACTACAGCTTCAATTTCGAGATATAGACAACCTACCRAAACTCAYACGTCTACTTTCMGATCTCTGAAAGAAGATGGAAAAGCGTTCTTGTCAACGTTATACACGTGTAAGGAAGATCAGTTCTCTATTTAAARGACTTTGGTTCGTGACCCGGCGAGACGAGTTTATACCCTACTCACATGTCGACATAAAAACGACACGATATCAGTCACATCAACTATCCGAATACTGCTTGATGACAGATACATTGGAGCGGTTTTTTTTCTTCACATTTCTTATCTTGATTCCTATTTCTTTCCATTTAACTTCCTTCCCTTCTTTCCCACAATTTCTTTTTACTATTCTTTTCTTCAGGTTGCTCTTTTCATCCCAATTCTTTCCTTCCATATGTCCTCTCTTTTCTTTCTTCACGTTATTCTTTCTCATCGTGCAAAGTTCCTTCATTCGTACGTTACCTGGATGGCATTTTATYGTACGYAAAGAAGAACAGCTGGCCAGATTCTATTGGAACACATTGATAGCGTAAAGATATAACTGTGCATAATSTAATCTCTCACATTTGACCGGGAAGTAACCATATTGAAAAGTCAAAGAAGGTCAATAAAAGTGACAGCAATTTTGAAAAATGACTCAGTTCTATGGCTCATGTCCTWAAAGCATGAAACTCTGCCACCAAAGCCTCGGGCACATTTTGCGGTATGTCACGAGCCACAACTTTCGATACCTCTATTAAGATCATGACTTATGCGCTCTATTTACAAATACTGACCACACGCAACTATAGTTTACTATCATTATACAACTTTGAATGTGGAAAATCACTGAGAATTAGGGAACAGAACTTCAATCCAAACAATCGGCAATTTTACAATTTTATTGTAATTTCAATTTGATGTCGCCTCGTATCACTACTTTATATCACAAAAGCTCACTATTCTGGCTTTGGAAAAACCTAATGAGTAGGTCACAGGTTGTATGGCTTTGTTTAGAAAACATTTATGAGTATTCTACAATCTCCATGCTTCGTTTGCGGTATTCGAGACAAGTGGTCYAGTGGTTACTTCTAATTACACTCTACAACCGTCTGTATCCACATTATCGTCTGTAAACTTTGTTTTTATTTTCTACATCTTGATTTGTTTTGAATACCTCACATAGATGCGATAGAGCGTTTTCAAGATGGCTATTTTTGCACACATTTGATGACAGACAATTAGTATAGGCCAGCACACAGCCTCTCTTTCGTGCGCAAGTTTTCCATGCAAAGAATAGCGAAAGTGGTGCGAATACAATAAGACCGATATGAATTATCACATGTTTGTTGGTTTCTTCTGCAACATCTGGAGGGATATCATGCTCAAACTGTTGTTAAAAGGTGATATTTAAGGCCATGTGTGTAACTGATGAAGGCAACAATGTTGTACCTTTCAAGAACCGGTTTTCAATTATTTTGTTGAGAATACCTCAAGGGGATATTGATCCTTCAAGGTTTCCGTTGCGTCAAAGTTAACGTGTTTAAAAGTGATACATTGAGGTTTCATACAGACCATAAAGGCATCGAATTAATTGAAAACATCCTGTAAAATGGCCTCATAATTTGGACTGACGCGACACTGGTCTATTACAGAGTGAGTGAAATAAGGTTGTGGTTATGGGGCTCCACACATATTGCGCACTTCTAAGTTTCTTAACGTAAAGCTACTTCTGGTCAACACTACCACCTCATTAATACTATCTTCACTCTATAAAATGAAACCTTTTAAACTACTAGTAATTCTTAGGATAGTACCCAGAATGCCAAGGTCTATAAAACATCTTAAAACTATCGGCAAAGCAAGGAGAGGATTGCGATAGACGTTCTTTAGCACTTTTTGTGTAAAATTTGGCCTGGGAAGAATTTTTGTGGGAACAATCTWTCTCCTTTGTTTATGTAAAATTCACGAAGTCTCKRCCACAGAGGGCGCCTAATACATCCCCTTGGTCAGCGGTAAATCCGGTTACTTTTAGCAAAACAACTAAATTTAAATTTGTGTTAATCCTTGTTAGTTTTGAGAATTTCGATTGAAAAATATATTAGATAATCAAACAGTTGACATGGATTGAGCGAGAAATGTCTGTGATACGCTTATCTATAGTGAAAGGGGATCGTTATTGTTAATAACCAAATGCTAAACCATTTCAAAGAACAATGCTTAAGCAGGGATATAAAAGCTGAATTATAGTGTAATCTATAAAGTATATTATAGGCTTTTAATTGGCTGCTTTTGTGACTCAMAGGTTTATATAATACATGATAAAAATGCTGTTTTTACTTATAGTGATATTGAATGTATGAAGTTCAACGTAATCAGTTGTCATACAAGACGTACTGGGTGCACAATCCCCGCCGTTTTAACCAACTGTGAGACATACCTTTGATGTGGCACTGCGCGACTAGTTTTCTGATATCCAGCAAACCCAGACTCAAACGCCTCAGGAATTCATTCGCTTTATAGAATTCAAAGAGAAATCTTATCAGCTTCTGTAAATCCTCCTAAGAAAGATTCTCAAGTAATTAAAAATTTGAGGTCATATCTATCATTCAGTACCATATGAAAACAGACTTAAAGTGAAACTGGGTCAAGAGGCCCTATGTCTGCTAGCAGTGACCTATAGTGCCTTGATTGTCGTCTAGAGTTGAACAGAAACATGAGAACAATCCATGTCTCAGCGTCCCCACCGGATGACTCGCGTCATCGTCTCATTAGTCTTGATTTTAATTTTATGGGTTGTAAGTCGCGGACCCACGCAACAACAAGCTTGACGCGCTTCTTGGCGCTCGACTTAATACTTTACAACTGACGGAACAAGCCTGACAAGTCGCCTATATACATGTAAATTACTGTCAACTATACATGATCAAATCGTATTCATCGATGGAAAATAAAGTGTGATGCATGTCCGCTGTAATAAATATCTATTAGGTCTAGACTGAATGGCTGTTTTCATAACAAAGACGTAATTTCCGTCCAAGACGGAATGGTCGTGAGTTCACAGTATTCACGTTTTCTCTTTAGCATTGAACGATGGTTCGTTTTATAGAATCAGAATCCCAAAGGCTAAAAAACCCTTGTCAAAAYGGCCAATACATTGAATACTAGGGCCTCCTCTAGATCTTAGTGCTGCCAGCGATAGATCTGAGAAGGTATTGGCCGACAGTAACGCGATTCCTCGACCCCCTATATGTATTCAGAAGCCTGACATATGCTAAAGACATGTTTGGAACGATAGACAAAAATAACAGTAGCTTAAAATATCGACAATACAAAAATCGCAAAACAACTAAAGACATAATGTTTCCTTAGTTAGCGCAAGATGCTGRCTAGTTCTCCACTCYYTTAACAAGCGCGYATCCAAGAGTCGACTCCGTACCCACAATTCGATCTGATKATGTCTTTTATGAAACATCCTTCTTATCTTCCCAAATGTTTATATTGCGGCATAATAAWTYAGGGAAAACCCAAACATGGCCGGCTTGCCYGTGATTGGGTGTTTTTTATTTGATTGACAGTTCCAGACATCGGTATGCTCCACGTGCATTTTGGTAAATAATCGAGCTTGAATTCTACTGACAGCCACCATTACGGAAGACTTTAACTTAACTGAAACTTCAGGAAAAGGTAAGCTAATTCAGTTGTAAAGTGGTTTTGCACATGTAAACTTTGGAGAAATTCATGGCGGCTTTTCGATAGAGACAAATCACACACAAAGTCGTTGGTATTTGATTTGACAAGGCGATCATGTTAACTTCAAACCCTTCATAAAAAGCTTATTCTGGCATTTTTGACTTTCAAAGATAATAATTAGCGACATAAATGAWGAATCTATCAATCCAAAGTGAACTAATCGTATAAAAAGCGACCGTACTTAATTACGCATTTTCCGTATCTTTGATCACTTGCGTTTTATGACCGTTGACTCAGACTTTATTTTGCAAGAACTCATTGACATTCGACCGACATTCCCGAAAGAAAAACGCAATTAAGTGGTTTCCAGTTCAAATATTTTATTTCTTACTCTTCCAGTCTAGAAGGAAAGTTGTAGAAGTTCTCGTTCAGCTATAATAATGACGGTGGTAAATCGCCCGCCATTTTGAGAATAAAAGGCCATTTGAAGACGAGGCTGTCATTTGAAACTTCCTTTATTTCTTAAAAATTCATAAGAAAATATGTGATATTTCATAATAAAAAGCAGTTTAAAAATTAATTAATTTGAGACGGCTAAGAGTAAATATCTTTAACACTCATTCTAGCCTAGTGAAAAAAATTGATATGGTATCATTATATAATGTCTTTGCTTGTCGGTGTCATATCCAGCCAACTTTCATAAACTGGAAATCAGTTTGGTCTTGCTTTTAAAGTTTCAAAATCATACTTCTTGAAATCTGAGCAGTGTTTTCTTTTATGATATCTGAAAAGAAAGTATATTTTGTATAATTAAGTTTTGACATAATCTTGATTTCATGAGTTCTCAATCCTCCTCTGCTCCCAAGAGAAAACTAGATTAAGCCTCAGGCAACCCAACACATTTCTCTGACAMACTTACCAGTCCMTTGTAAMTGAGAGAGAAACCCTTCTTGCTTGTGTTTTTGTCTGATACAAAAACAATYGATGCTTCATTTCCTCTCACACGAATAATGTATGGTTGGCGAAATGTTCCACAAAGACTAGGRCCCACTTGATTCAGCATYTTGTCAAGAACCATTACGTAGTCGAAGCTTGAGAAGAGACAAAAGAAATATGAGCAGCTA